CTGTTTACGTTTAAACTTAAGGTTGATCTTAGTTGTTTTGTATTTTATTGCTTACTTCCAGTTGTGTGGCTTGCATCGGTTCTCACCGGAGAAGACTATACACATTGTTTACATCTCGAACGTCTATTTATGGAAATTGTACCGTATACCAAACCTTAGCAATCGTCACCTACATGCATACACGTGCGGGTTTTGAATCTCGGCTTTCCTCCAATGTGACACCCAAAATCGGCGTTAAATGTATTTTTTATTTACAATTTGGATTGCGTTTTCAGTTGAAAACATCCCTTTTGATATACAATTTCAACTACTTTACAGTTCAAATTGCACCCTTTAATAATCACTTTGGACTTCACTGTCAGTTTAAAGTGCACCTTTTAATATACACATTGGACTGCACGTTCAGTTCAGAATGCACCTATTAATATCCTTTTTGGACTACGCTGTCAGTTTTAAATACACCTAATGAGATACAATTTGGACTTTACTTTCAGGAATGACGCCCGAGGGTGGGTACCCCTTAGGCGGACAAACTAGAGTGGACATCCGCAACGAGCACATGCAGTACATCGTCACGTGGTAAGAAATTAGGATTTGCTTTTTCTTGGGAAGGGGTAGGGAGTGGGGGGGGGTTCGTCTGTATATTTGAATGAGATTCTGGATTTGGTCTCGACCCGATTATTATATTGCGCACGAGGTAGTATTACGATAAGTTATTTATATACATATGTTTATTTATACTACACAAGCTATGCACGCATTTGTATTCGCCATTCATATCTATGTAAGTGTATTATGTAAGTGTATGTATTATTTATTTGCCAGGGATATCTAAGTGTATATATTATCCATACTATCCATATATTCTTCATTAACCGTATTTAGTGATGTCGTCGTCCAATGTCGCGTTCGTAACCTGTGCGCATCCTGGTGGCATACGTTAGTATTGGGTCCAAGTCTGTCTGTTCTGACATCCGATAAGTGAACCAAACCCCACCGCATGACATGTATCTTTTCCTCACATAGACACCACTTTGTCACCTACTTCTATATTAACCGAGATCGATAATTCTGGACAATCCATCTAGAAAATATATCTATGAATAAAGCCTTTTCACACCGAATGCCAGAGGTATGTCTCACACATATACCTCTACTTCTATATCAACCGAGACAGCTAATTCTAGTCAATTTCATGTACAAACTGAATCTATGAACATACGCAACAGGTTTTCTTTGTCAGCGTTGACCTGCGGATACTGCTACTACATGTTCTTCAAGAAAAAGCCGCCAACCTGGACACCCCCCGTTCGTAAATAAATAAACGTAAAAACGTAAGAATCTATCTAGCAAAGAAAGAACAGTTAGATCTAGCCCATTTGACGTCAATACTATTGGAGAGAAGCTGTATCACAGATGTAACGGTAAAATCTATCTTACAAGGGATTAAACGTATATATATATATATATATATATATATTTATATATATATATATATATATATATAT